CTTCTAAATTGACCCGAATTTGTCTTCCTTTTGACAGTTGCGATAACTGTATTTATCGACCAATAAAATATGGTAAGCTTTCTCTTTTAGTTCTTGAATCAATAATCTTACGTTCTGTGTAGTATTGTTCTTCGGTCTCATGTGTCTGCGAATGCAGTTTTTCGATGGATACGCGTTTCATAGAGCAACCTTTGAGCAGAGTTACCGCTGTTATCCGTCATCCTTTATTGATAAGGTTTGATTTCAGTTGTCTACTTATTGTTTTATATGTAAATTGGAAAACTTGTTCAATGTTAAAAACCTCACTTCTGTTTCCTTTTCTTTTCACAGCCTCAAATTGAAAGTGGTGACAAGAGTAAGTCTTTATTCTTACAAATAATGAGTCTTTTTCCAAGTCAATGTTACTCTTTATTAATCTCAAGTTTTGAAATTTGATTTCTTTGTTATCTGTTTCAGTTATAATGCCACCATCAGCTCTTGATCGTCTTGGTATATTTTCTTCCTTTTGCTTTATTATGATTCCAGCTTCTTCTTTTTTTGGATTTAGTGTGATTGATTAATCAGAGCACTAACATCTGTGACTGTGTCTCCAGCCTCTTTGCATATTGATTATCCAATGCTCTTTGAGCTTCGTAATACTTCAACGGATGGTGTTTCTCACTGCGGAGTCCTTGAGTTCATCGCAGAAGAAGGCATGATTTACATGCCCTACTGGGTAAGAACCCAGTTTCTCGGTTTTGTCACCAATAAATATGCTCGAGATCTTGTGACTTAGAACTGATTGTTTGTTATTTTTTTATATGAATTATTCTTTGATCCAGATGATGCAGAACTTGCTGTTGCAAGAAGGGGACATTGTGAAGATTAAAAATGTCACTCTTCCAAAGGGAACCTACGTTAAACTACAACCCCACACAACAGACTTTCTTGATATATCTAACCCGAAAGCCATGTAAGTCCGACTTATGTTCCCTCTCTTGTATTTTTGTCTATCCAGACTTTGTTTTCTTTGCGATTACCGTATTTACGTCTATATTGAATCCCTTTCTGAATTTTGGCTCTTGCTCTTAATCCTTGATTTGCTTTCTTAATATCATGGGCGACTAATGTGCTGGCTTATTCGATTTGCAGCTTGGAGACCGCATTGAGGAACTATTCATGTCTAACGGTCGGAGATAGCATTATGGTTCCATACAACAATAAGAAATACTTCATAGATATAGTGGAGGCAAAGCCTTCTAATGGGATCAGCATCATTGAAACTGATTGTGAGGTTGATTTTGCTCCTCCCCTTGATTACAAGGAACCTGAACGACCTGTAGCAGCTGCTGCAGCTAAAGGTCAAGCAAAAGGTTAGTTGAAATTCATCGGTTGGATTCTAGTATTTCGTTCCAATTCTTTAGATTCTCATGTATGTTTTTGTTTTTGGCTGTCCATATTGATGCAGCTGAGGAGGTTGCTGTGGCTGAACCAGAACCAAAGTTTAACCCTTTCACGGGTTCGGGAAGACGTTTGGATGGACGACCGCTATCCTATGAACCGCGACCTGTTGCTGCTAACAGTAACGGCCAGTCACAACCTGTAGCAAGTAGTAGTAGTAGCGCAGAGAAGGCTGCACGGCAAGCTCAAGGGAAACTTGTGTTTGGCTCAAATGTAAACCGGTCTACTACTAAAGAGACGACGAAGGTAAGTAACTTGTTTTAAAACTAAAATGTGCAAATGCGATCTGAGATAACAAATGGAATAGACATATAATGTGATTTGTGTATCTTATTAGGTTGGATCT